TAACCAAAAAAAAATTACCTCAGAAACAGAGAGTAGGTCTTCCAAATCACGTACCGGCTAACTGTGAAGCGATCACGACTGGCTCGATTCATACTGTTATCGATCGCGGAGGCGACAAGAATCCGACTCAACATTCGGCACTGAGAAGGAACTTCGTCAACATGTGAATCTGAGCTGGTCTACGAAAATCGGTGTTCCATGAACACGTCTGACTGACGTGATTCTTGGCCCCACTGATTCACCCATACGTGATCACACGCGCATTCTGATTGATACAATCAGTACGATGTATCGGCTAAGGGTTACAAAAACAAGCTTTGTTCACTATAACCGTTCTTGTCCTGATTACTGAAAATAGCTAGGTGGATGCTAGAGAAAAGTGAGAGGGCCACTCGCAAACGCGACCCGGTGCAATAGAAAATTTCAAATAATTGCTCTTGACACATGCATCAATCATAAACGCCGTTTTAAACCGTTCTGACCGATCCCATAGTATGACAAATGCACCAATTCCAACGGAAAATGGGAGAAGGCTTCTAGGGCAGATCATATTGAATCGCTTCGCTCAGAACTCTCCCAACTTGCAAGATATGCTACCCAGCCTAAAGAGTTGTGTGCAAAGATAAAAGAGATAATCGTCCAGCTGTAACATCCTTTCGGTGCCTAGCTGCCATGCCGCCCGAGAGAAGCACGAGGGCTGGGATACTGTCTGGTTGCCCAAGCCTAGACAGATAAAGTCGAGAGGCAGAGGTCGGGCTCGAACCACGGACCTTCGGACTAAATTTGCACTCCAGCCACTGAGAATGTTATAAGCAAGTCCGTGCATTTATTCTCTCATTTGTCCCCTATTCCACACTTCTGAAAAGTACAAACACAGTGCAGTGCTGGGAAAAGCAACTTGGCTTTTACAGCTAATAAGTGACAGTTGATCTTGTTTTGGGAGGAACAGATAATGTCAAATGATAGTGACAGCTGATTGAGCCTGACATCTAGGCTTCGGCTGACATGACAGGTCGGAATTGCACACATGCTGCTGGTTAGGCACAGAGCGGGACCGTTAATTTTTTGAATTGCATTTTTCCGTCCGTCGTACCTTAACGAACTCGTCCTTTATTGAGGCTTCTCGGTTTGCCTGTGCATTGCCAATGCGGCTGAAGCGTTCACGGTCAGATTTCGCCCCCACTATGCGCCCTTACACGATCGACCGCACACTGTCGGCCTCCCCGCCTTCAGTCCTGTCTAACCCAATCTGGTCGCGCGCACAGAACGGTATTCCTGACAAAATATGTGACAACAATGCGGTGCCTGTGTGTGCCAGTTAAACCGGCGTAAACTGCTTTTTGATACCAGTGTCCTTCACTGAAAGTTGCACTCTTTGATTCCTCATCCCCGAATTCAGATTAGTTTGTCAAACAAACGATGGATAGTGGATAGGACAGCAAAGTATATTCAACTGTTAATCGTAACCGGTGCTCAGGGGTTGGAGAAACACGAAAAAGTGGTGACTGCTATTCTTACAGCGTTTGGCTCTGACGCCCTTTTCGTGTCCAGCTGCCATGTCGATCGAAGAAAGCATAACAGCTGAGCTACTGCCAAGTTGCCCAACTCTAGACGGGAGCACCTGAGATGTCAGTCAGTAAATTTTCGCTTTAATCAAATTTTCTTCTGTTCTATCAGAGCTGTGCAAACAAGCCTCTTAAGTGGCAATTTCTTACAAATGAGGAATGTGCTGTTTGCAGTCAAAACAAGGAATTGTCGGGACCACTTTCCCCAGTTTTTTACTTTTTAATTTACCTGTAGCCAAATAGATTTCCAATTTCGGAACCGCAGTGTGGATGCTGGATTGCACTTTACTTTTGAGAAACAGATTTACTTCATGTCGTGGCCTTCAACTTTAAAATTACTCCTTGTTTTGCTGTCCCTCCCCCCTGGCGGCGAGATGGACCAAGTGGTTAGAGCGCGAGTTTACTGACCGGAAGGTCCGTGGTTCGAACCCGACCTCTGCCTCTTGACTTCCCCTGTCTAGGCTTGGGCGACCCGGCAGCATTCCAGCCCTCGTGCTTCCTTCTGGTGGCATGGCAGCTAGGCACCGAAAGGGTGCTACAGCTGGACTATTTTTTTGTCCCACCCCTATGTGGCGAATCAAAAGGTACGGTGGCTTAAGGTAACCTTAAATGATGACAGGGGAAGACCCCTACATCCGTTCTTAAAAACTGATCACAAGACTCTCTATGGGCGCAATCTTAACATGGGGAGAAGCATGTAGCTACAAATGGTTGATTGTGATTGGCCAATAAGGGCACACTCTTTGGTCCTAGGTGCCTCGAATGCCTCGCTTCTGAACACTTAGCGATGTGTTATGAAAGACGCCCTACCTTACCTACATAGGATCACCAACTTTCTATTCTAGCTTACTTCGCCATGTCTCGGAATATGGATACACCGGATAGGTTCATCAATCGCGAGTCTGTTCACCGAGTTTTTTTTACCCAGTAGACCGTGTCAGTTGTTGAGGAGATAAACTTGAATGCACTGCATTTTTGTGAGTTCATGATTGGACAACTTTGCAACCAATCAAAAACGAGTGACCTCTCCACATTTTACGTTTTCACTTTCAGGGCAGCTGGGAAAATACAGACCTTTCATCTTCCATTGAGGCAATATTCTAAAGTTCGTGGTTCAACCATTACGCGCATCTTGTCGTTCATATCCTACTAGTTGACTGCAGCGTGTCTGATATCTAAAGTTCTTCAACCATTACGCGCATCTTGTCGTTCATATCCTACTAGTTGGCTGCAGCGTGTCTGATACGAAACAGCCCGTTTTGTTTGTTATCCCGGTTCGTTTTAACCGCGAAGCGCAGCCGATTGGTGGTACAAAAAGAATGAGCTGGTCTTTCTTTGTCTTCAGCTAAGTTACACTGCATTCACACGCAACCTCTTTGCAATGACGCATGGTGAAAAGCTTTCCCCCCCCTAAGGGGTGGGTGGGAGCTTCACTCTACTTTTCAACCTTATGATGGCGCATTTAAGGATGACCAGGTTTATCTTGCATCGCAAACGAACTTCCGAAGTCCATTCAGACATCGAATGTTCCCTAATCTCACCCTATACTTTGTAGACTTACGTGTTAAGCATTTATTATCATCCACTGCGCTAGTATGAGATTTCTTCTTATTTCTGTCTCCCTTTTCATCCTTTGCCTGATCAGTTTACCGTCATCAGTGTGGATTGACCACGATACCGTCACTTCTCCCGTCCTCTCCGAACGCCCGTCACTGCCATCCTCATCCGCGACTTGTGCTACCAAAACCCGTCGATCAATCGGATGTTTCCCTAAATTCAGCTGTATGTTTCGTTTAAAACGACGAAAGCAGAAAAGTCGGTCAAGCCCCTTACACCTCCCCGCCCCACAACCCGTGAAAAACGGTGCGGCAACAAAACCGGCGCCCGAGGCCAATTCGTCCGATCGAAAACCATCCTTCGGTTCCCTTAGACCGGTTGATGATATCGCGGTTGCCTTATCAAACACAGATGCTTTAGCCGTTGCCAAACTGACCCTCCTGGATACGAAATCAGGTGAATTTTATCGCCTTCTTCTAGATCCGGATTCCACATCTCATGAGTCTTTGGTAAAATATTTCGAACAGTCCTGTGGTGTTTTGGTTCTAGACTGCTGTCTCAGTCCGTTTCGTCCAACCAAGGAACCGAAGTCTGGCGGTACTTCACCTTCAGTCCTGCATCTTTTCATTGTTGCTACGCAAACAGAACGGGTGAAGCGATTGTGGACCGCTTCTGACAACAATGAATGCCCCCAGTCGACCAGTCCAACACCACGAAACGACCCCGTTTCCGGTTCCAGATTGGAAAATGAGTTGACGGAAGCACTTTCCGGGGCTGGTGTTCTAGAACTGTTGCAGTTACAAGACATCCGTCTTTCGGTCCGCTTGGACCCACATGAGGTAGAACTTGCGATCGACGAACTCAATGACTTTGTTGAATAGCACTCACTCTATTGTTAGGCCGGATTTTCCAACTGTGATAACCACTCATTGTGAATTCATGTAGGGAGAGTATTTTTGCCACTATGCCTACCTGCTCTTCCACTCTTGACCTACCAGCAATTGACTTCCCGGTACACCACTTAGGTGGATCGTTTCACCTAGACTACAACACACCCATTTTGGCGTGGACTTTGTCAGTCAGTTTTGGCCGTGTGGCCAGGAAAAAACTGGATGGGCAAACGCCGTTTTTTGTCTTGCGCTTCTGTCTTTTTGTCAGACGAGTCGAGCGATATGTATATTCTTCCAATCCCCATTTAGTCATCACCATCCTTTTCGCTCGGTGGGGATGTTTTCGACACTTACTTATCAAGAGAGAGAGAGAGAAGTTTTCGTGGCCTTTTCGTTGTTTTTTTCTATGGGAGGGAGGGGCTTCAGATGGCTGCGGAGAGAAGGCCGGCAGCATTGCTTTCCCTCGGAAGGTTGGTGGTTCGAACCCGACTTCTGCCTCTCGACTTCCCCTGTCTAGGCTTGTCCAACCTGACAGTATCCCAGCCCTCGTACTTCCTTCTGGTGGCATGGCAGCTAGGCGTCGGAAGGGTACTACACCTGAACGATTTATTTATTTATTTTCTCCCTTCCATTAAACGGCACATGGTTTAACGAAATTCGGTGAAATCTGTGGCGGCGGGAGACAGTGGCTTAGTTTAATATGCCAGCAATAATACCTCTTAACAGGAGGTCTATCGCAGCCCTCCTACCAAGACAAACCACCACGTCTCCATATTTTATTTGCTGTTTTATTTGGATGGCCAACATTTATGACAGACAGGTTAGAGAGGGATTCTCCTCAAATTGAATTGGATTTGGGGCCTTGTTCTTTCGGTTTGAGCGGGTACTTTGGTGAAATATTTCTCTTGGGTGTCGCTCGGAGATTTCACTGCTCTGTAGGTGCCGAGGAGCGCTAGGAAAATCCGGTTGGAGTTGGGGAATTAAGTGAATGTTACTCTGGTTGGGTTTTGCACTTGGGACCGAAATCACGCCGCCTCGTGTTATCTCGGCTGGTTTGAAACCACTCTACCAGTTCTACGCCCCCTGTTCTACCACTCTGGAATGCCTGACGATTTCCACCCCCTTGGCCGCCAAGCTGTGGTAAGTGGATGTTAGTCTCTGTTTCAAAACGTCGAGTATATGCCCCGCCATTGCCGAGTCTGTCACCATCTCCTGATATTCAGCTACGTTTCTTGGTGGCCTGTTAATCATCATCATCATCAATGACAGCAACATCAGTGTTGGTACTGATGCTTCACTGCCGTACAACCATAAAGTTCGTTTATATATATATATATATATATATATATATTTTTATTAAAAGCCCTAAAGTGAAGAGAAGAGAAAAAGAGTGGGTGAGGGAGGGGCCCTACTGCTGGCCTATGTCCTTTTATCTTCATTCTAAGGCTTTGAATACAAAGAGGTGAATCTTGGGTGATCTTTAGGCATTCTGTAAGTGTACAAGCGCTTGACTGACGACCAGGATAGTGAAATCCCACATTCACATCACTCCTGTCCTGGCGCAATTATTCCGGTGAATTCATCCCGGACCTCATCAACAGTGCACATCATTGGCGTTCCGAAGTGATAATCCAGCGCCGGCTGGTGGACTAGACCCAACGCGCTCGATTCACGCGTCAGACGTGGAGAGTTCAAAACCCCAACATGATCAGGCACTGCTGATGAAGTCTAGTGCGAGCCAGGACACCCCAAGACGGGGGGCAGTGTTCAGCCTGCAGTGATGTGAACGTGACTTTCACAAATACCCCGGCTACCTACAACGGTGGAGTCTAGGAAACAGAAGCGAAGAACAAAGCCAAGAGAGAATGATCGAGGCTAAAAAGCCGCTCCGGGTAAGCATTGTTGATCCTCAGTTGTTTCTCCGTTATCAGATCACTTAGTCCGCTCAGTCGAAACTGTCATACACAAAGGTTGAGGTTTCCTGTCGGGGGCCTAACAGCTGATCGCCTTCTGTAAAATTCCAGCTATCATCATCATCATTAGCGAGAACAAGAACATCAGAGTTGAGATACTGAGGCTTCACTACCATACAACCACAGAATTCATCTAATTGTATTTAAAGCCCTATGGTGAAAAGAAGAGAAAAAGAGTGGGTGAGGGAGGGGACATAGTGCTGGCCTATGTCAAGCATACTGAGGTGCCTACACCTCCAACCGCTCAATCAGACAATCTGGAAAGAAACTGACAGGCTGTTAATGCATTGATTCTGGTGTGCAACTTCCTGGCTGTATGACTTATACACACCTTCGTACAGTCATTACATTTTATTTCGTATACACGGTTTCTAGTCCTATCAACCGGAAGGGGATCCCTTAGCTGCATCAACGCCGAGTGTAAAGTTCTTCCTTTTTGGAATGCCACTCTAATGTTAGCCGTATTCGGTATCCTTCCAATGACTTCAGATGTCTCTGTTTTGTATGAAATGACTGCTGTTCCGACCCAATTCTTGTTGGGATCAATACCGGTGTTAATAGCCGCTTAATCAAACCCACTGAGCATCTGCTGTCTCAGATTTGTTTCATACCTCAAGCTGTGCTGTTCTTCGGATGGGCCGACAAGTAATTTATGACGGCACAAGTATCCGTTGTTTTCTGGCAAACATTAGTTTTTATTTCTCCACCACTTCTGCAGAAAGGACTGTATACTCCAGCTGGACTCTCAACTCCATAGTCCTGCTGCTAATTTGTCTGTAAGGCGCATCAGCTAGGTAAGGCAGTTCTCTACGTTGCTCCTCGGCTTTTCGGACAGGATCATCATCATAATCATCATTGTCAGCTGTAATAACCGCGTGCGTACCGTAC